ACACACACACACACACACACACACACACACACACACACACACACACACACACCCAACCAGCCTCCACGTCTCATATATCAGAGGGCAGTTTTTGTCTAAACAGCGCACTTATTGCTGATTTTTCTTTGTGTGTTTATGGCGCTTTTTATAGGCTCTCAGGAGGATTTATGTTTATATGTGCACCTGTGTGCACCTGCAGTGCTTTACTCAAGTATTTCTGTCTACTTTCACTACATTTCAAAAGCAAATATTGGAATAGAATAACAATAATTGTGTTAATGCATCCTATTATATGTTAACAGAATAAAAAACTTTTTTTTATTGTGCTATAACCATATGTGTAACATTAAACTAATGCTTACACGTTAATGCACCATCAGTTATAATCCGGTATTTTTTCTTCCTATGCCATCAGAATGATTTTGTCTTTGAAATTCTGTTTGATAATGAGACGATAGCTCTAACAGACATAATCTTTTCTTTCTCAAAGGCACACATTAGGGTTAGACCACTTTGGGCACCTTTGAGGGTAATACTTTGCACTTTAGCACAAAGGGGTTAAGCAGGGTAGCTGCATGCTCGTTGTTAAGCAGTTATTGCTGAGAACAATCTCAGAAATTCAGTGCCACACAAATTGCAGCTTCGACTGATGGGAATGTCTTAGCACAAAGGCAGCTTGTAGTTGAACCTTCCAGGGCTATAAGCTACATCTGGTCGGATTCATCAGCATACATGGAGAGCTGTACAGCTGTTCAAGCAGACGGTACTCGGCAGACTTTCAGCGCTGACCAAAGCCACAAAAAACAAAAACAAAAGAAAAAACCTACATGTGGGGCACAGAGAATGTTTTGCAAGACTGAAATTTTGATAACTAACTTATTATCAAAATTTCAGCCGGGATAGGCTCAAGACCCTGAATTGGAGAAGCAGGCGAAAATTCAACTTAAACAAAATAAACCAAAACGAATCAGGTTAAAAGATATGGAGCTGATAGTGTGAAGGGCAAGTGTGATATTTCATTCAAGTGCATTTAATCATCTGTGACTCTCAGCATTCACGGATCAACACATTTCCTGGTAAACTAGAGCCAATCAAAATGTGGAAAATGGTGGTGTGGTGAGGGGGGTGGGGGTGGGTCATCTCTTCTGTAGGTCTGCGTGTTTTTTTTTTTAACGTTTTGGAGCAAACACAACACATCACGCTTTTTTCTCCGTCTGCTAAATTCCACTTTTAACGTTTATTTTAATTCAGTCTTTGTTTAATCAGTAAAATGCGACTCGTGGAGCATAAATCTGGTTTCTCAGAGCGCTCTGGCCAAATATAGGAAGCAGTTTAATCAACTGTGATTGCACAAAATAACTGCACCAGTGTGCGTGAGGTAAATCAGACCTTTTGGACAGAAGGCCCACGGCTGCCATGAGACATTTTTGTGGCACTCATCAAAGATCAAAGACGCCCATTTGCATTAATTAACGCCACTGAGTTAAATATTACCCTCAAGAGCCAATCAAAGAGATCGAGCAAAACGTGAAGACGAGAGATCAAAGCACCGCCAATCGATCCGCTGCAGCGGTCACCAAAAACCAAAGCCAGCACAAGCCAGGCCTCGTTACAAGTTTTTCTTTTCTTTTTTTTAATGGATGCTGCTGTGCTGACCGCGGTCTGTCTCCACTTTGGTGCTTTGAAATGAACCTCTCTGATCTCTCTTTTAAATTAAGGAAGAAAGGATCCATTACGCAAAGAATGCATTTGGTATAAAGACTAAACACTGATAGCTTTCGTTGGCTGAGTAATTTACGGCATCCCTGGCATCGGTCCTGAACTGGATGTCTGAATTTATTGTTACAGCAGCTGGACGACTTCCCAGGATTGTTTAAACAAGACGTGACTGCCTGTGTGTTCATAGAAGTGTGATTTCTCTGCGCCCCGAAAGCGTCGCGGTGGAATTAAAAACTGGTAGCCTTTGGTTGTTTTTAATGCATGACAGTAGTGGTGGTGGTGGAGGTGGGAAGCATCTCCTTAACAGGCCATTTTCTTTATCTAAATCTACTTCAAATCGACTTCAGTGCCAAAAATATTTCAGCTCCCCCTGCCCTCTGCTGAGCCATCTTAATGTTTCTGGGTTTTCATTCTGCTCTAATTGCCACAGAAACGTAGAGGAAGTCAATTTGCCATATAGAAAGACGTAAAAATCCCCTTTCTTATCTTTATCGCAGGCCTATTACCATACATGAAACTGAGCCTGCACCATCAGCAGAAAGGCTTCCTTTTTACGCGCACACACAGACACACACACATCCACACACACACACACACGCCGATCCTGTGTGCAGAAATGCAACGCAGGGCGGTCTGCAGCTGCAGAAACACTGTCCACTCCTTCACCACTCAAAGCCACGTCGCGTGCACCTTAACGCACGAGAGCCGCGTGCTTCTGCTGGGATTATTCACTAATCCGGGAGGTTTTCCAAAGGTGAGAGGAGCCGGTGTGTTTTGTTTGCGTGCAGGATTGTTTCAGCAGCGGAATGAATGTAGGTTGTGAAGGTAAGGCAGCCGAGCTGTTGTGCCGCGGACTGGGTTATGTGTCTTTATGATTTACGAGCCCGACTCCAGCCGCGGTTCAACCAGAGTTCATAAAGCTGCATGCCTCCAGTCTTATTCTCCCTCTCTCCCTCTCTTCCTTGCTCACTCCCTCTCCTCGTCCTTAAAACTGCGCCTTTAATAATTTCATTCTCTTTAATTTTGGAAGAAAAGTGAATTAAATTTAATTGCCCGAGAAGATGCGCACAAACCAGCCGCGGCGCACAAAGCACTTTTCTTTTATTTTGCGTTTAATTGATGGATTTTTCTTAGCAAACTGTGATGTAACGTTTAATTTTTTCCCCCTTAAAAAATGCCCAACGCAGGGCTATCCATTAACTGAACAAAGGCTGCTATTTATTAGCAGTCATACAGGCCTAATTTAATTTCCCGCAGCACCACTGAAAGCATGAATAAAAGCACTGTTATTTGCTATATTTGTATTTAATGTATGGTTTTATATTTTAGCTATTTATATCTGTCAATTAGTATTATTTTTTTCTCTTGCCCTGAATCTGAATCAAACAAAAGACTGCCTCCAATAAAGCTGCCCCTTTAATACTCTGCGATCCTTATATATTGCTTATGCTACTTACATAATTAAATGACAATAAAAGGAATTTGTAGGCCACTGAGGTCCATATTAATTGCAAAGGGTGAACAAGAGGATAATAATTGAATTTCTGCAGAGATCTTACAGGATTATCCTCCTCTTGGTGTGTTTTTTTTTCTTTCTTTCTCCAGCACACTCTTCATTCTGCGTCGCCTCTCTGGCTTGGAGAGGCTTGCTATTCATGTCAGCATACTATTGAGTTGATAAGATGGATCATTTAGTCTCCTCCCTGATTCTGTCTCCGTCTTTTTTCTTTTTTTGCTGGATCGTCTCAGGCCAAGAAGCCCTCGGCTCTGTGGAAACCTGCCATGTGACATTTGGCTGCCAGCGCTTCGCCACAAGGTCAAAAAGGGAGGGGAGGAGAGGAGGGGGAGGAGGAGACCCTGTGCACGTTTAATGGAAATGCAGAAAACCAGCAGCGCTTCACACAGCATCCACCATCATCACCATCACCACCGTGACCTCTTCAGCGAGTCTCCGGATGGTGTGAGCGGCTTTGAGGGCGCTCCTCAGCAGCAAGTGGAGGCGTCTGAGCATGGCACGTTTCCCCGGAGGTCAAAGCAGCAAAACCCAAAGTTTGCAATGAGCAGAAAGATTTTCCCCTGGATGAAAGAGTCCAGACACTCAAATCAGAAACCCGGGAGGAGAGTCGCAGGTCTGTATGACATAAACCAGCAGCAGCAGAGGATTTTAAATGAAGCCGTTTCCACCCATTTTCCCTTCAACGTAGCTCCTAATGTAGCTTATATTCCCTGCAGTTCAGCATTAAAGCTGCAATCAGGCATGCGAGGGGAAGGCCCTGGCTCAGGATTTAGGATGACATTTATTTTAAGAATAAAACAGAACAAGCAATATAATTTAATTTCACATGTCATGTTTATTACATAGAAAGATATTCAGATTTTATCGATTTTGGGGGGGACAGACGAAGCCGAGAGTAACAGGACACAGACAGAATGACTCATCAGCGCAGAAATGCTGCTTATTAAAACAGGAAACACACAGATATAGATGGCCCTCCTTCATTTAAACTCACATTTTTATTCTTTGCAATGATCTTCCACTTTAAATACAGTTTCTCTGAGCCTAAATCAGAGACTTTCGTGATTTATGACAGAAAAAATATTTAAATAAAAGCCATAAGATAGTCAAATGTCCAGTATCAACTGACTTATTTGACATCAGACACATAAACCAAACGAGAACGAGCTTGGACAACACTTTTAGAGTTCTTCTTGTATATAAAAATGTATTTTTATATTTGTGTTTCATTTGGTAAATCATTAAACGCATATGAAATTGCCAACCCCCACAAACCCCCCACAAATAGTTAAAATCAACATCCTTGAAATGCGTAGACTTCTAACACAAACTCATCACCTTAACTGTATGCATTTTTAGCCTTGGAGCTAGCTGACTTTGCCCTTTAGCACATGCGTACTAACTTGCGCACAGAGCACCAGAGGCACCGCGAAGCTGTGGTAACGTTATGTGTCCTCTGCGTTGCTCATTTATTCTGTTCTTTTGTTGATTTTATTTGCTGATTAAACTTTAATTTGCTGTTTTTACTTTTGATCTTACTTTTTGCTTTTTTTTTTTATAATGGGGGGAGGGGGGGGGGGTCATGGCAGGAACATGGTCAGCTAATGAGACATAAGACTAAAACTAAAAAATGTGCAAACTTAAAGAGTTATTGAAGGGAAAGCTTCTAATTTGATCACGTTCCCGTGCACATTATTGTCTCTACAGACTGCCCCGTGAACGAGAAGAGTCCAAGCAGCGCGACCCCGGCCTCCAAGCGAACGCGCACCGCGTACACGAGCGCGCAACTGGTGGAGCTGGAGAAGGAGTTCCACTTCAGCCGCTACCTCTGCAGGCCGAGGCGCGTGGAGATGGCCGGCCTGCTCAACCTTCACGAGAGGCAGATCAAGATCTGGTTCCAGAACCGGAGGATGAAGCAGAAAAAGGACCAGCGAGGTCAGGGCCTCCCTCCAGCCATCACCACCTCCTCTTGCTCGCCCTCGTCCTCCCCCTCCGCCCCGGGAAGCCCCACTCTGTCGAGCCTGGGTTATGTCCATCTGGGAGGGGATTACCAACCGGCCTCCCCTCCGCTCAGGCCCCAGCAGCAGCAGGAGCAGCAGCCTGCGTACCCGGCAAACTACTCTAAATATCCAGTTTCAGGCTTCACGCATGGCCCACAGTTTGATGTGCAGTACAGCACCCACACGAGCTCACACACACCAAACCCTAACCTGCGAGGAAACGACCTGACCTCGTATTTCTCACAGAGCTGCAGTCCTCAGGAAAGAATCCTGCAAGCTCCCAAACTGACCCACCTGTAGCGCACGGTGTGGATTTATAAAGAAGCGCAATACTGATATATTTCCATGCATGCGTTATTTATTTATTTATTTGACTAATTAATCAGAATATTAGTCTCAAATGTTGTTGTTTTTTATCTGTATTTATAAATCATTTGCTGTGTGTTTTAAATGCATAGTTTCGGTTATTTTCTTTTCGACTTTAACTTTCGTTTAATAATTAAGACCTTAAATTAAAAAGGTTCACTGCTGTAATTTACCCAACATAATAATAATAATAATAATAATAATAATAATAATAATAATAATAATAATAATTTATTCCACCAGATTTAATCTCCAAAATAAAAGAGCCAAGAGCAAATTTCTCTCTTTTAATTAGAGCTAGCGCCTGAGGTTTATAATCTTACATTAAGTCTTATAAGAGGAGAGTGGAGCTTGTAGGCTTTGGAGGATTTTACCCTGTATGTGTGAACAACTTGTAAGCAGAAAAAGAAAGACGCTGTGGAGAAAAAAGACTGTATATGGTTCTTAAACGTGTCTTTGTTCTTTTATGGGCGAAATGGGCCAAACAAGCTGTCAATCTTTTAAAAGGAGTCATGATGGATCACTGGAGTCACTGCAATGCCTTTCCCCCCTTGCCTGATTCGGTGTCTGTCTGCAGGGTTCACTCAGTCCGAACGTGTTTTAATAATAAGCCAGTTATTTAAGCAGATACAAAAAGTGTATTTTCAGTATAGAAATGAGCTTCATTCGTGTCATTTAGAACAGAGAATTAAACAAAGTGCATGAAAAACAAATGATATCACAATTAAAACAGCTGCAGGCCATAAATGAACAGAAAATGTTATTTTATATTATTTGTTCAAGAGTAAAATAACTCGAAAAAAGTAACTTTTTTGTTATTATCATTTTTATTATCATTTTTTTTTCTCATATTCATTTATCATTTTTTCTTCCTGTAACACTGCGGCCTGAAAATGTGTCCTCCTGTTTGCGTTCCTATCAGATGGATGAGCGAGTTTGATTGAAGCATTTGTCATGTAAATGCGAGGCCGTTTGATGGACGAGTCTGCAGACTTGACAGAGTGCTGTAGGTCCCTTGCCATTGGCGTTTGGCGGGTCACATGGTGTGTCAGGAAGGTGATATGAGGGTGGAAGGCAGTTTTACAGCTTTGACATACTACCTAGAAGGTTAGGGCAAAGGGAGCACCGATTAATGACTGCTCGGTCTTGATCAGTTCTGAACAAACGGCAGGCCCAGGTTCAGGATGAACTCATACTTAGATTACCCCGGGTGTAACCGGGGAGCAAATATTTTCAGCGCAAAGGCCGGATACCACAACTTAAACCATGGATATACATCCTCCAACTCTTGCGCAACAAGTGATAGTTATGCACCGGACGGACGTGTAATGGTCGCAACTTCGGCGCCCCACCAGACTCCGAGCCTCCCTCTGCACCACCAGAACCACGTAGGCTTGGACATGCCGTTCGCAGGACCGGGCAACTCCGTGTATGGCTCACCTCTGGAGTACGGACATCACCAGTACGGCCTCGCCCCCGAGCAGGACCGGAGCTTTATCCATGCACAAGTCTCACCCCTCGCCACAAACATGGCTCCCTATACCGGGGACAGTTGTGGGCCTGGGGTTGCACCGGGAGGCCAGTATCTGCATTTTGGCAGCGGGGATCAGAGGCAGCAAGAATATTCAGAAAGTGTTTACGCAAGGTTACCGCCTCCATGTAAGGAAAGGGATTTGGAGCATGTGGAAGAAACTTCGAAAACTTTCGATTGGATGAAAGTGAAGAGGAATCCTCCCAAAACAGGTCTGTTATGAGGAAATCAGAGCTAAGAAATGCAGTTTAGAAACCAAACGGGATCTGTTCCCCGTGCGTAAAAACCCCATCCAGCTGATATAATTAGACCAAAGTGTTTTAGATTGTCCTCAAATGATTTGGCAGCTAATATTTCACGCATTTCTTCTGTTCACGCTGACATTTTCATCGTCATTAAAGCCCACTCTTTAGCCCCACGACTTTCATTTTCCTCTATCATCCCATCCATCCATTTCTCTCCACAGCAGTCGTGTCGGAGTTCGGTGTTCCCGGCCAACACAACGTGATCCGCACTAACTTCACCACCAAGCAGCTGACCGAGCTGGAGAAGGAGTTCCACTTCAACAAATACCTATCGCGGGCAAGGCGGGTGGAGGTGGCGGCCAGCCTGGAGCTCAATGAGACGCAGGTGAAAATCTGGTTTCAGAACCGGAGGATGAAGCAGAAGAAACGGGAGAAACTGGGCTGTGTTTTAGTAAACACCCCGGCACCAGCGGAGAAACTTTCCACCTCTGAAGCCTCCCCAAAGACAAAAGAGAAAAACTAAACCGTGACTAAAAGTATAACTGGTGGCCCGAGCACAGTTTTTCACATTTTCCCCCAAAGTTGCACCATTCCAGAAAAAAACTGAAAATTGCTTGTGGAGTTGTGAACTATACAGGGTAGGCAGTGTCTGCTTGTAGTCATTTAATCTTTCTATTACACACCTCCATGCTGTTTTTTCTTTGTTGGCGCACTGATGTACTCAGTGTTACCGTTTGCACTATTTATTTACAGGGTATTTTCCAACAGTTGTTGAAACAATTTAGCTTAATAAAGTCTATAAAATGCAATAAGAGTTGTATTTGTTGTGTGTGACTGTGCAATAAAATAAAAACAAAGAAAGAGTATCTAGATAATTCTGATTCAGTCCAATCAAACTTTAAATTCTGATAAAGAATTTGTTCTGTTTCACTGTGTAAAATAAAGTTATGTGTGGTTTTAAAAACTTATTTCCCCCCCTGTATGTTTACCTCTATTATTAGTCCCCTTGCATAATGTGACAAGAGGAATCTTTCACAACACATGGGGTGGTTCTCAGTGACCTTTTCACCTCGAAATACCTCCAGGGGCTCTAAACATGACAACAAACTCCAGGGAGGCAGGTCTCAGGCTCGATTTGTTACCCAAATTCTGCCGGGACACAGGTTGTCACAGGTTGTCACTGAGGTCCATTTGTATCTTATAAAATGTAACAATCTTTCTTTTAAAATGATGAAATCAATTAACCTCTCAGCGCTTAACTCTGGTTTCACCTTTAGCCAAAGGCTCGCCGGACCTGACCGCCTACTTTCTTGTGATGCTGAAGAGGCAGCAGTTTCAATATTTGCACTGGGTGTTAGGTTTGCACACAGTTTCTGCCCCAACAGCACTGGCCTGTTGCTGCCCCTTTCCCCAAAGCTGAGGTTCACACAGAGTTCAGGCACAAATGAATGCAGAGTCAATCTGTCAAGACACCAGAGAGGCTCAGAGAAGTGCGCTCTAAGTCTCTCAGATCTTTGCAGGTATTGCTTTTAATATTGAGACTAATAAGGTTGTAGGTCGTTTAGGTTGTGCTCCAGATTGTGCAAACTTTAATCTCTCCGAGGCTGCTCAAAAACAAGTTTTAAGGAAATGGAAATCATTTGAAATATATCTGCATGAGTATGCAGTCCTCTGACAACTATATTAAAAATTGATACAGTCCTACGAATAGAAGTTACAGTTGAAATACCATACGGCCCATTACTGTAAATTAGAAAAGGAGCAGAGAGGTTTGGTGACATGCATTTCCTTACAAACCAACAGCCTGCTCTTCAGGTGAGTCGCAAGGCCAAGGACTGGGAAGGCGATAATATATAAGGTGAATAGTGACAGATTCAACAACAAAAAAGGGGGACGGTGTGGAAAACAAGTGTGGGACTTCATTCCAGAGGTGCGATCTCTGCCATCTCTGTAGGTAATACCTCAGCGCTCCCAGCGGGCTCTCCATCTGGAGGTGTCAGAGTCGGTGCTGCAGCCAACACCACGGAGACAGATGTTCAGCTGGGGGAGAGGAGAAAGGAGGAGGAGGATGTTTTTCACCTTCGGATCAGTTCAGCCCTCTTCGCCTTCGCCCGGGGAATGTAGGACAGCGAGAGGAGAGGAGCACAGAATGGTTAATGAACACAAAAGGAACACAAAGAAGAAACTGTTACAGGCGCAAATATAGTCGAAAACTATTAATAGCTCCAGCAAAAACAGCCTCCTTTTCTTTCCTCAGATGTCTTTAGCCGGCACGCCCGCCCCCCTCCCTGCACTTTGCTTGAGGTCAACCCAGTGCTGTTTGTACCCCATGCTGCTCGCAGTTGTTGCAGGCTCTTTTACAAGTCTATTGCCAGGCTCACTTCCTTGGTTTTCTACCAGTTCCTCTGTCGCATGTCACTCTGCAGGGTCCCCGGGCTTCAAAGGAAAACTAGATACAGTATTCATGGCATAACCGGGGGTTGGTCATCCAAAAGATACCACAGAGGGAAGATATCAAACACAGCTTTGAGGGATAACACCATTTTCTCTTGTACTGTAAGACACAGACATCAAAATAAATGGATGAAAGAAATTTGGTTCTGTTCAGTTTCTTGAAAACTTCTTAGAATATTTATCAAACCTAACAAATTACAGTTCAAACAAAGACTCATTTTCCATCTCTGTCCTGTTTTTTTTAATGCTATTGACCTTTATTAAGATCGAGACCATAAATTAATGTCTAACCAAAGAAATGGAAGAACTAAAAATAGGTGTATGGAATCAGAAACTTAAGGGGAAACAGCTCTGTGCACTGAATCTTCTTTTATTTATTATTTGAAATAAATATAAACATCTTCAGTTTTAACATTTCTTAACTTTCTCTGTCAGCGTGGCACTACAATGAATTTGTTCGGCTTTTGTGCTGCTGGCTGCATAAATAAGACATTTGATGTCATCTCTGCGGGATATGTGAAATTAGAAAAAGCATTTTTCTGCATATAAAACATCTTTTTGGTTTCCCATCGGCTCTGAGAGGGGTCTCTCCTCCTTAGTTTATGAGGACTGTTTGGGGGCAGTTTCTCTCTTAAGCTCATCCATCCTTGAAACTTATTAATTTACCGATTTAAAAAGAAAATCTGCAGCTTAATAGATTGTTTGCATATGTAAGTTTCACTTCATGATTGTATCAGTTAATGGTGTTGTCACAGTATCTTTAGCATCAATGCAATAAGACAGATTTGTTGCGTTTTGTATTTTCTGGCAAACAATTAAGAATTAGCATTACGGAGTTGGAACTATAGCTGTAGAAATAGCAGATAAAAATAATAATTACACAGTTATTAGCAGTGTTATATGTGCATTATTAACACAGCGTTTCACCCCTAATATGAAGCACGACTCTTGGACACTGAGGTGAAACGCTTTGATGACATCTCTCTGTGTGCAGACATAACTGGGTTTAAATGTAACACGCATATTTTTATAATTAGCAATGATGAGAAAAACAGACTTTTAAACACTTCTTAAAAAGGTGTTTAAAGAAATTAAAACCAAATTTGCATGTGCATTTTTTTATTGTTATGAAAATTCATTTTAGGTGTTTGGTCTGTGAAATTCAGTAGTTTTTTCCCTTTTAAAAAAAATTATGTTGGTGTTTATACCCTCATTGTTGTGGGAGGGAAACAAAACTATGATAAACGATTACCTTTGAAAGTCTTATAATCTGAGTAGATATGGGTTGGTACCAGTGTACTGCCGTACCCCTAATTCTTTTTATTTTCATGATTTCTTTCACAGTTTTTGGAGGTTTGTGGAGAGGGGCTGCCTGGGTATGAGTGGCACGCTCTTTGTTTTGGCACTGAGGCTCTTTATAGCCAAGCCTGAGACATTCTTGACAACCATCCCCCATCCGAGTCAGGCTCGATTGGATCTGGAGGCGCTGGCCGACCTGAAGCTCCCGTCTCCCGGGTCCCACTGCGACTGCATCCTTTCCCCACTCCATCAGCATGGTAACTGAGAGAGACAAGTGACTTGGCCAGGGTTAACGTCTTAATACTCCCCGGGATTGCCTCCAGGATCCAAATGGCTACCCCTAATAGTTTTCCTCCTCTGTGTGCCTGTCAGACCGCCATGACTATATGCCGTAAGAAAAACAAGACTAGCTGAGAGGCAGCGTAACGAGGCAGCACGATGAAATAATGAGGGGTGGTGAGGAAGAAGAGAAAGCTTTGGTGTAAAGACGCAGGTACGAAGCGCTGCCTGATACTTTGCATGGAAAGCCTGCACACTTGAAATTAAACCAGCTCTTTTCCTTAAAGCCCAGGAGGGGGGAAACCAGAACTCAATCAGTGTCACGTCACATGGTTCAAAGCGGCCAATTCGATGCTGCCAGGAGGCTGAGAAATGCAAGGTGACAGTTCATTTTACCAGTGACAGTGTGTCGGTCTCGCTTGCTGGTTCCACAGTCAATTCCCAGCGAGCAGTGAAGGTTGAGTGTTGCTGTAGACAGACAGCAGCTTACCACCCTCCCCTCACACCACCACCTTCCTCCTCCTCTTCCTCCTCACCGCCGCTCTCTCATCGACCCTGCTCTGCTTTGTATTCCAATTAACTGGACAGAGGGAGAGGCGGCAGCGTTGCCGGATCACAAGCAAAGGCAGACACATTCTTCTGGCGTCCTTCCAGTCTCTCAATCCCACCACTATCAATAGTGCTGTGCTTCCCTTTTTCCCCCTTCACTTCCCCTCTCCTCTCGGCTTATGACAAGGGCCAGTTGTTCCAGAGGGGTAATTCATGGATTCTTCTTTAACAACTGCCTCTAGGGACAAAGTCCTGGTAATGAAAAATAGGTCCCTTGCTCACACATTCATACATCACGTGTAATAGAGGTGTGCAATCACTCAGTCGAGTCAACGCACTGCTAGCTGTAACTGCTGTCCTTAACAGACACCTCAAATAATGCTGAATTAATATTTTGAAACGGCTCATATATCCTAACATAATACAATTTGAATGATTTTCTATTCAATGCTCTCAGGGCTAACATTGATTGGAGCACAAGCTGAGGTAACTCTCCGAGTCAGTCAATGTGAGGCTGACTGAAGGTTGTAGATTTAGCACAGCACATTTGCTCTCTTCTGTCTTTCGTGTCCTCAATCTATCATCACTTTTTTTTTTAACTTCGCCCCCCCTGCACTGACATATGTTTGAGCAATGGGTGGGTTGGGAATTCAATGATTCGGAGGAAATCTGAAGAGTAAACTAACTCTTTTTTTTATCTCCTTGAGCAACACAAACATTTACAAGAGACCATCAAGAAACACCTTTAAAAAAAAAAAGAATGCATCCTTTTAAATTTGCGCACCATCTTGAGATATCTTCTATTTTGAAAGATGGAGGAGTGACTTTAAGCTATTTTTGTGGCCAATTTGTTTGAAGGTGAGTGTCACTTTCTTTTTAAACTACTTCCTATTCCTCTTCTAAACTAAAGACAAACAGAGCTCGACAGACAGGTGTGGGTGCCTCTTTATTTGCCCCTCTGGACTGCCTATCTGGAGAATGCAATGTTGTGTGTTTGCAGGACAGGATACACACACACACACACTCAAACACACACCCTTCATGCCCTGAGGAGCCTCCTGACTCTCTCTCTTCTGGCTCTATCAGATCAGAGAGACCTGCTGTCCCTCCCCACACCGCAATGCAAATGAAAAGGAATGTGCTGATAAAAGGCCAGATCCCGGAGATGAGAGAGGGCAGAAGGAGGACAGAGGCAGCAAATGCTGAAGGGGGTGAGAGCCTCTTGGGGAGATGAGAGGCAGCAGAGGAGTCAGTGTTGGTAGTAGTGGGAGATCATAGTCTTGCTCCCCCTCGGCGGCGTTTGATACAGGGCTTTTGTCGCTCTTTCAGCGGTGCATTGTTGGGTGGTGTAATCCCCGTCGGATTACAAAGGGCTTCCCTTTTCATATGGGGCTGACCCAGCAGGCAGGTGGCTGGGGCTCTGTGGAGCTGTCAAGGGGAGGGAACCTCTTTTCCAGGGGAGGGGACCCCCAGTTCCTCTTACCTTCACAGGGGCTTTTTGCTGGAAGGCCAGTCAGGCACAGGTCAGGGTGGGGACAATCCTGACATGGGATTCAACTCGCCCTGACCCCACGGGTTCTTGTGGAGAAGTGACAAGGAAGGACTCCATCATGAGACAGAATTCAACATGAAAACATGTGAAAACACGTGAAAGTATTGCTTGGTGATCAAAAAAATGATTTTTAAATAAAAACAGGATCATTGCAGTTGCAACTATTAAAATTAGAGTCAACATGCTGCATTAAGAGTTAAAAAATGCAAGTTTAAGATCTGAAATAATATAAATCTCGTCTGTAGTTTAAAATATGGTATCAGCCGTACATTGCTTGATGGATACGTCGTGTTTTCTGTCAATGTGAGCAGTGTCTGATTGAGCTTTGCTTATTTGATGGCTTTCCTCACACGCTTTCAGTAATAGAGGATCAATAACACAATAGCAACAACCACCAATATTTCTATTTCTAATATAGCTACTACCACAGCCTCCTCTGCTCATTTCAGCTGAGCCCAGTCCAATCCAGGTCATCCTCTGCTGGCAAACGTAACCATTCATCCAGGCCCTGTCAAATAGTGAGGGGCCAATTTAGTGAAGCTGCATTCATTTATTGTCATAAATATACTAATTAGTTTTTCAGCCAAAACCAAAGACCCATGAAAGTGTCATATTTAAGCAGTGAAACTGAGAATTTATGATACCCGCTTTGGCAAGATGCGCTATTTATGCAGAAGGTAATGTTTAACCCGTTAAATTCAGATTCAGTAACAAAGCTATATGTTAACTGCATCCCTGTTGATATTTATATTCTCATCTTTAAAAAAAGAAAAAAGAAAGACAGATTCAGAACACAATATCTACTTGAGGGAAAGCATTAGACATCCCCATTAGGTTATTACTTCCTAAGAAAATCTCTCCTGCTACAAATTAAATTTACCATTTTAAAGATTGAAAGACTGGGCGTACTTGAACTCAGCATTTGCACAAAAACAAAAAGCGGTCAGTAAAATAAAACTTTTAAAATTATCTTTCTGTGAAAGGGCAAGGAATTGTAGCTCACCTTTATCAGAATGGTTCTGAAACGCTTTTATAACAACATTGGTAGTTCAGGATGAGGTTCAGGTTCAGTAGCAAAAACGGAAAACATATGCACTTGAAAGCCGCATGCTGGGAGAAGACTTATATAAAGATCGCTATCTGAAATCACATTTAAAATAGCTTCCCACCTTTATTTCCACGTTAACTGGTAAGTATATAACCTTAACAGGAAAAATGATAGAAGATAAACATTGAAGGGCCATTTAGCTGACTTTAAAGAAGCCAAAATTAGCTAATAAACGCCTATCAACGATTGTAGCGAAGTTAGGCTAACTTAACTTAGCCTAGCATGCTAAATTAGGCTAATATAAAACTTGCATGGACAGCTAGACAAATTAAACAGCAGTTACTTTCATTATGAGAATAATAGTGCTAATTTTTAGTTCAACTCTTAATCTAAAAGTGAATATAATTGCCGGTCATTTTCTGGCCTGTGACTCCAGCTGTGCAGTATATGCACCGAAGGTGACATAACAACAACAAGGTTTTCTAAATACTTCCGCCAGTTAATTAAAAGGCCAGGCACTGTCACCAGACTTTATTTAGCTAAATTAAACTTAGCTACTCTGGAGGTATATCATGATACATTTTTCATGTGTGTATTATCAATTTACCTAATTTTTTTTTTTTAAGGTAAATTAATCGGTTTACGGAGCTACGGTCAATGCCAGTAAATCCTATCACGATTAAAGTACACACAAGCTGTACTTTGGGCTGTAAATATCACAATTACAATCCTGTATACCTATAAGCCACAATATAAAATAAAGACTGACACCAGAGTTTTTAGAAACATGGGTTTTATTTTAATTTACAAGATAACCCAAGTAAGTAAAGTGCACAATTGCATTCTTGAGAGCACAAACAGGTCTGGCAGGAAGTAGCCTTTACTCTTACCTTACAGTGTGTGGACAAGACCCAACAACTCTTTCACTGCCTCTGTGAAAGAGGCCAGCAGAGGTTGCAGAGCAGTGTAACACAAGTTATTGAATAATTTTACCTTGATATTTTGAGTTTTCTTAACTGTTGGATCAAACATCTAAGTTACCAATGCTTCCTTTAAGTCAGCTGCCTTAAAATGGAGGAGTTTTGCTGCTGACACTGTGATATATAAGTGATGTAGAAAAAATTTGTGTGGAAAAAAAAAACAAGATTTTTGCCCCAGATTGTGAGATTTGGTGTGGGTGTAAAAATGTGTTAAGCTGCAGCTTCTAGCAGAGTTTAAATGTGTTTTTCAGCTCTGAACAGTGCCTATCTAATGTACTCATTGTAAGGGCTCAGAAATGCTGAAAAAAATAAGGCAAATTAAAAAGTGCTAGATTTTGATAATCCAGATGCACTAGGAGGGCCTGTAATTAAAAAAAATATTTGTAATATGAAGGTAAAGTTTTACATGGTTTCATTAAATATGCTAGAGCAGGGGTGTAAAACATAAGACCCGGGGCAAAGACTCCAGTCTGGCCCAATGGGGGGCTTTGGAATTTTAACTGTATTTTCATTTGTTTCCACTGATAAAGACCTCACCTGTAGCCATTCATATTACAACAAAGTTATTAAGTAACAAATAAATAAATAAATATGAATTAACACAAACATTCTGTTTTATTTGAACTGCGTGGTTAAACGTCTTCAGAAAAAAGAGTTTTGCTAGCCTGGCCCTCTTAAGATCAAACTGGGCTGTATGTGGTCCATGATGGTCCTGTGCTAGAGTCTGAAAAATAAATGCTTATTCTGAGAGGGTCAGGTGGGAACCTTTTCCAGATTTGTTGATTTTTATTTGGAATAACTTTGCATTCGTTTCTAGTTTGCTTGTCTAGACGTGGTTGTGCATTTACCACATGCAGTTTTGTAATAACACCGGCAGGCAGCAGCTCATGTACATGACCTACTAAGCCATATAAGCCAGACAGCGGTGTTTTGGTTTTTTTTGTCTCATTGTCAGACAGAGCTTCTTTGCTCTCAGCTGAGAAACCAGAATGCAGAGGAAGTTGTCATTTGTGCACCTGCTCCTCCCTGTTTTGTGCAAATGTTGATGCATGCACGGAAGTTTCAGTGCAAAAGGCCACAGGTGGTGAGTTGATCTACAGCGTATGTGTGCCGGGTTCCTTTTTAAGTCTCATTGAGCTGTAACGGTACGTTAAAGAGCTACGTAGGCTACATTGTGGAGTAAAACCCAAAGCCTAAAGGAGCCGAATAAGTCTGATAAATCATCAAATCGAAGTTTTATTTTTTGGATAGGTGAACCAAAGGGATGGGGACAAATGTGGACGACTTCACGAGGCTTCTGTATGGTAATATCTTTATTTAATTTTTTACATTTAACAGATCTTTCTTTCCCCATAGACAAGTTTAACTTTAAAGTCAGTTTAAGTAGGCACTCTTTAGAGTTGAGCTCCCACCTGTTGAGCACACAGTGTTATAGAGAACTTTTAACACTGCATCTTAACAATTTTCATAGATCTTCACTGCTGCCGTGACATTTACTACATTTGCATGCACTGCTAAGCCAGCCAACAGGCTTTTGGAAGAACATTTGCATGGGCCAGAACATCTCTGTAGAATATGAGTGGGTGCATCATGAAATTGAATCAGATAAGTGATGTTGACCGACCTGTTCTGGCCTTCATTATCATAAAGATTGGTGTCACATTTCTCTGTAATGTTTCCACCTCATCAAATCAAGTTTGCAGTTTACTTTAGAGGGATATGATAGCCTTACGTGTTTGCCCTTTTTTTTTCTTTTAGAGGTCAAGACACAGAAAGAGTAGCTTTTTATTTTTCTGGAAAGCAGCATCAAAGTAGAAAGAAAGCATAAAGTATTGAGGTGCAGGTGACTAGTTGAAGGAAATATCTAAACTCTTGACCCAGACAGAGATGGCATCTCATGGTATTGTTTTGCTGGCTTGGTTTGAGTCACGTCTTTACTTAGAGTATTGCTGTTAAATATGCAACCCGGGGGCCAGAAGCAGGCAGTCAGAGTGTCAACTCTGACCTTGTGATGGTTTGTTACCTATTGAGGTGAGATCAACATTACCACATTACCTAACAGGAGTGAAAATGTATAGAAACCTAAATGTATTTCTAGATTTGGACAAGTTGTTAAGTGAGTTTCTCAGGCATTACATGACTAATCCAAGTAATCCAAACCATAGCGACATATTAATTACTAACCTTGTGTTACTGATGTATCGTCTCAGACGTTCTTCTGGCTGAAATTTTATCCATTTTCGGCGTTTTCTTCTTGCCATGTGAGGGCGATTGTTTCTGGCTTTCAGTGACCCACAACTTTAATTGAGAAAAATGTAACGCTCATTCTACATCTTAATTCTGCTAATGTGTTTGTGTTATCCTAACATAGCTTTGAGCTAGCAAACAAGTAGTGGATCATATGTCAGCTAACCCAACTTCACAAACATTGCTGATATTTAGTTTTCTATTAGCTGGCTAACTTAGCCAGCTAAACCTTGGAAATCCTTTTCTTCATGGATGTCTGCATTTTAAGCCTGTGTGAACACCCCGAGTGATCATTTATGTTAAGTTCAATGTTTAAACTCTCAGTGGTTTCTCCCTGTTTGTTTGACTTGGGGAACTGAAGAATTATTTAGACCTGAAAATGGCTAATGACATCAGACTTAACAGGTCAATAGTTTTTTCGTTCCTCAAAAATCTACAATCTAGTTTCTGCAGCAAAACCAATACAAAGTTTTTCCTGGGTGATGCTTTGCATTGTGATGGGAGTGGTCTCTACCAGTATCAGAAGTTATTAAAGGCTCACCGGATGGTTTGATAAGGATGTGTGAGTCATATGCTGTGGTCTTTGCAGTAATGATATCTTAACCATCTCACACCTGTGAGATTTTGGACTGGTGTTACAGTATTTGCACTGTCCTCCATTAAAACACCAGTGGATGAAAGGCTTTTTGGAAGAGCTATGCTCAGCCCTCCTTTAGAGTTCCTAAAAAGTGGAGATACTGAAGCTGTCAGCACGTGGTGGTTTTTCCTTTAATGTGTCAAACATCTTCATGAGCTCAGCACAGAGAGAGGACTGTGAAACATAAAGCAATATTTTATAAAAGAGAAAACTTGATGCGAGATTTGTGAGTGATAAACTAGGAACAAAGATATGAAAGTACCAGATAGAAAGTATTCTTAAAGTTTATTGTCTGGGTGCCAGTTTGGGAGCTAGCGTAATTGAGGCTCCCACATTAAACACTTTCAGTTATTGTTTATAATGTGTCTGTTCATCAGATGGTGGTTTATGCTGGTAATTATCATTTTTGTGCTGGTTTATTGTTGTTTAACCGCATGCGAGATGGCTCTTGGCATTTCTTAACACCAGCTGTATTTGTCAAAGTTAGGAAGGTTTAATCTGCCATCATGGCTACAATAAAAGTGTTGAAATTGCAGAGAAATGCTCCCTCGGTTTCATTTTGTGCTGTTATATCACAGTATGCCATGAACTGTTGCGTTCCTTTTTTTTTTGTTACGCTCCGGGGCCACGTAAAATGCTCCCGAGGGTCGCCTCTGTTGTGCAGGCCTCACTTCGAGAATCATGGAGACTGCAGGGTTTGCTTTGTTTGAGTGCATTGTAGTGCATTATTCTGTGTAAACGCTTCATGATCGTGACCCTTTAGTCACTCATACCCCTCAGTGCTTAATTTATTTTATTTATTTTTTATGTTCGTGGTTATTTAACAGGGACGGTGCATGCTAATTAGCACAAGGATAAAAATATAGCATGTAAACATGTCAGATTGAAGCAAAACTGCTAATTTACATCTGTAGTTTCTGTTATATACAACATGCATAACAGAAGACTGAAGAACAATACAGGAAATGCACAATGCCAAGGTTGCTTTAATTGAACATAAATGGTTTGCTGCCCTCAGACTGCGAGCTGTTTGTGACAGAGATCCTTCATGGTGAGAACCTGAGTGAATCTGCAGAAGAGACACGAGAGGTCCTGCTGAATAATTTCAGGGTCGTCCATTCAAGGTATGATTTTATCCTTTCGAAGAAGCTCTAAATCTGAGGCCCAGAAACCTACTTTTAAAAGTAATTTCAAAGACACCGTTATCTAATTTTAGCTGATAATGCCACACAAAACCCTTAATTGTTGCTCTAATTGCTTTAAACACAGTTTGCATGATTACATTTGAAGGAGCTGATTAAGTCTAATGGTGTCACCTTCGAGACTTAATTCTTGCTCTTATTGTTAAAACAGCTTTTAAAGATCTCGTGCAATAATCTTTTCTTGATTGAGACAATTAAATGTGATTTAATTCTTGAGCACGAGCCCAAAAACGTCAACCTCTTGTATGAAGTACTGGTGACAGCTTACTCCG